GAAGAATATCATTTGCCCCCAGGATAAACCTCATAACCTTCTGCAAAAATATAGATACTAATTTCCGCATGCTGTATAATGAAAATAAAAAAATTCAATCTAGGGGTCGGGGAGACAGCTCAGCAATCTAAGTACAAGCGCAAGGATCCGGGTTCGATCCCCAGTACTGCATGCTGTGCAGGCCCTGGCCTGGCCCCGCCAAGCAACCACTGAAACTATGCATGGTCGCGCATGCCTGTAACCCCAACACTAGAGAGGCTAAAACAGGAGGATCACTACAAGTCTGAGCTGCAAGACCCTGTAACAAATACATAAATTTTTTTAAAAAATTTCAACCTTAGCTAGGTGTAGTGGTACATGTCTGTGATTCTAGCACTTGGAATACTGAGAGTAAAGGATCTCAAGTTGGAGGTCAGCATGGAACACATAGCAAGATCCTGTCTCATATGGGGCTGGGGAGATAGCTCAGCAGAATAAGTGCTTGCCTGGCAAGTGCAAGGGCCTGAGATCAATCCCCAGTTCTAAAAAAAAAAAAAAAGATCCTGTCTCATAAAACCAAGAAAACAAACAAAAATATGTAATTTTACGTTGATGGCATCAAAACTAGAAGATATATTACATATATTGACAAAATAACCTATAGCATGACTAAAAATAATACAACAAAAAGAGTAGAGGGGGATAGCAAGTAGGACATTATATGAACAAGCCAAATTCCTCACCACAATAAAACTATATACACAGGTTTAAAAAATTGCAATTATTGAAATTTATGAGAGGCTGGGGAAATAGCTCAGTAGAATAAGCGTTTGCCTGGTAAGCATAAGGGCCTGAGTTCAATCCCTGGTTCCGCCAAAAAGAAAAAAAAAAAAAAAAAAAAGAAATTTATGGTGTTAACTAGCAGAAAAACTAAAAACAGGAATGAACTGTGGTTGCTTCTGAAGAAAATAGGAAAGGGAAGAACAACAAGAGGCTACAGAAATGTTTTCAACTCTGAAGGAGGAATACTTTTATAACTTAAAATGATCTGCTAACTAGTTGAAAAAGGTTACTTTTCAAAATGGAATCAAGGGCCAGGGAGATAGCTCAGTCGAATAAGGTCTTGCTTGACAAGCGAAAGGTCCTGAGTTCAATCTCCAGTATCATGAAAAAAAAAGGAATCAGAAAGTTAGCCTGAAGGAGATAAAATCTAACTATCCAGTCTGATCTTTTAGCCTTTCAAAAAATAGACATAATTCTTCAAGTTGTGAGGAAAAAAAATCTTCCTAAACACCTACATAAGTAGAAAGGAATGAAACTTAAAAACAAGGAAGGTCTTTCCCTTCAGTATCTTGATAAAACATGAGTTAGAAATGGGGGGCTATAATTCCTTAATCCTTTAAGAATGGCATATGGAAATAGTGTTTTCAACCTCAAATTCCTGTTCTGGAAGTGTTAATCGGCTAGAACAGTAGATGGCTTAATTATATGAAGACCACATTAATGTCTCTGAAAAGGGAAAGTGATCTGATAGGTTTTAATTTGAAACGCTCTTTATAAAATTAAAAACAAATGCCAAACTGACTATAATCTATGCCTCTGTGGAGAAGTAAAAGGCCACTATAGCTATAAGAACACATTGTGATCAATTATGCTGTGAAGGTGAATTGATCCAGGCTTAGTCAATAATTATGAATGTTACTCATTGGGCAGAAAAAGAAAGTGGTCAAACTTGTAAGTCTTTTTCTAAGTTATTTTCAGGAAAGTAAAACACCTTTCATCTGTGAAATCTATTTACCCTCTAACAAAAAAGGAGATAGGACAAACTGGCCAGTTCAAATCTGTACAAAGTTAAAGTTAACAAGGGTATGGGCCAGCCAGATAGCTTAGCAGACTAAAATGCCTGCTTAAGCAGAGCACAGCAGCAGCTGGGTTTCGATTCCAGCAAGCAGTGTAGGCCCCGTCCGTGGGGTGCGCTGAGCTGGTGATCTAGACTGGGCATAGTAGCACGCACCTGTAATCCCAGCACTTGGGAGGCTGAAAACAGGTGAATCTATGTAATAAGACCCTGTAGACCCTGTACTAAATACATTTTTAAAAAAGGGGGATGTAGTGATTCCTCAAAAGCATACCAAAAAAATACAATGGCTGGAAAAATGACATAGTAAAACATAGGAGTACCCATTTTAGGGGGGGAATGCAATCTGCGAACTTAGATTTATAAGAAACTTTCGTGGATTCCTAGGATCCAAGACCACTACTGAAAGATAACACTCCAGTTCTTGGTCTTTTTAGCAGCACTGTCAAAAAACATTCAAACCACGACATATATGCAATTCTAAATTTTCATTTTTGGTACCAGGAGTTGAACTGAGGACCTTGCACTTGCCAGACAGATTCTTAGTGATTTTCCTGTTTTTAGTCTCCCAAGTACTGGGATAGCCAAAATTTTAAAAGCAAAAGGAAACAAATAAAAAATCAATACTATATTTTAATTCAATATATCCAAAACACATCAAAATCTAGTCAATATTTTAAAAGATTAATGAAACATTATTTTCAGTCTTCACAAATTTCAAGTCTCCTCATACTTGCTATGTATAACAATTATAGCACATCTCAACTCAAACAAGCCATATTTTAAGAGCTCAACTGCCACAAATAGCTAGTGACTAAGAATGCTCATTTGGGAAGTTCTTTCACTTGACAGATGTGGCTTAATGGAAGTCAAAACTCAGCTTCTAAGTCAAAAGCACTTTCCTAGTATCATTCAGGATCAAGCATGAGTCTTAGTTGTTATACAGTAAATCTTTAACTTCTATTACAACAATTTCCCTTTACTCCTTGCTGAAATCTTACTACAAAGACAATAAAGGGGGAAGGTTAGCACATAAATCTCCAAGAACAAACCACATGAGGACAAGAGTACCCTTTATTTCTTGAACATTGTTAGACGGGCTTACACACCTCCCAAACCTTCTTCCCTGCTTTCCAGGCAAGAAATTGGTGAACACTTTTCAGGAAAACTGACCTGGCTGAGACAAAGATGTGACATGAATGTACCCACACCAAAAAAAACTGGGTTGCTGTCACCATCACCCTACTGTAAGGACTATCAAAACCAAGAATATTCACTAAAAAAAAAACTAAATTTTTACTTAGCTTTTTAAGTGTCTCAAGCTTAACTATTCTTCCATTCTCAAGTAGCTAAGTTAAGAGGCTTCTATATGCCAGACACTGTTCCAAGCATGGTTCCTCTCTCAAGGAGCTTATATTTTAATGAGCAATATATACAGAACAGAACACAAATAGAAATAAAGCAAGAAACAAGATAAAGTGTAATGAGAAGGGGCAGGAGAAATACTGCTTTACTTATGAAAGTGAAGGACAGCCTCCCTGGTGACAGATTCCAGAGTACAGAAAAAAGGAGGGAGGGAGCCACTCAGATACACAAGAGTGTAGAGGGAACAGCAAGAACAAAGCACCTGAGAGAAAAGTACACCAACCCTCCTGGAAGAGCACACAGAGACCTATCAGTCTGCAGGGAACTGAGAGGCCCTGAGTGGTGGTGGGGATAATATCACAGGCACCAACATGAACCACTGCATCAGCCTGGAAGACCCCAGTGAACTGGTAAGCTAAGAACAGAGACATCATTATACTTATGTATTAAAACAATTGCCTTTCCAGGTATCTGCAGAAATGACTTCAGGACAAGAGCAGAGAGATCAAGAAGGAGGCTTTAGGGCTAGGGAGATAGCTCAGTAGAATAAGCGCTTGCCTGGCAAGTACAAGGTCTTGAGTTCAATCCCTGATACCACAAAAAAAAAGGAGGCTTTTGCAGGGAGAGGTGAAAAGTCTACATATACAAGCACATGCATGTGTGCACATCTTCCCTCTCTTCATCCCTTCCTCCCTCTTTCCATACACAATTTTTTTTCACCAAGAATTGCCTTTATTTCATATGCATCCATATTTCAGCATTTAGTGGTCCTGAACAGACAGTGGGATGATACAGCAGGGGCCGGGAGGTCAGGAGGCCAAGGGACCAGGCCACCAGCCCCGGG